TCAACCCATATCATTCACCAATAAAATGGAAACAGTATTATCTGTCAGAGGCTGCTTATGAGAATTAAATGTAATAATACATGTAAAGTACATTGCACAATGCCTAGATCATAGAAGGTCACCATATTAATTTTTTTTTGTTTTCTTTTTGTCTTTTTTGGTGACTGGCCAGTACAGGGATCTAACCCTGGACTTCAGTGTTATCAGTACCATGCTCTAACGAGCTAACCAGCCAGCCCTTATTGTTGCTTTTTTTTTTTAATACAGCAGTCCCCCATTATCTGCAGTGGATGTGTTCCAACATACTCAGTGGCTGCCTGAAACCATGGATAGTATTGAACCCTATATATACTGCTTTTTTCTACACATACTGCTTTTTTCTATACATACATACCTATGATAAAGATGAATTTATCAGTTAGGCACAGTAACAGATTAATAACAATAACTAATAATAAAATAGAACAATTATAACAATATACTGTAATAAAAGTTATGTGAATGTGGTCTTCCTATCTTTGTCAAAATATCTTATTATACCATACTCACCCTTCTTATGATAATGTGAGATGATGAAATGCCTACATGATGAGATGAAGTGAGGTGAATGACACAAGCATAGGTTTCTACTGACCTTCTGACAGGAGATCATCTACTTCAGGTGATCCTGGATCATCAAGCCATGACAATGTCGATGGTTGGATGTCAGGATGTCAGGAGCAGATGATGTCGGCGATTGGGGCTCCTTAACAGTTGAAAGTTTTTTTTCTGAAACCTTTTGGAAGAACATTGTAATCATAATTATGGTCTCTTCCTTTTTGACTCTTTTTTTTTTTTTTTTTTTTTTTAAAAGATGACCGGTAAGGGGATCTTAACCCTTGACTTGGTGTTGTCAGCACCAGGCTCACCCAGCGAGCCAACCGGCCATCCCTATATGGGATCCGAACCCATGGCCTTGGTGTTATCAGCAGCACACTCTCCCGAGTGAGCCACGGGCCGGCCCCCTTTTTGACTCTTTTTTTTTTTTTTTTTAAAAGATGACCGGTAAGGTGATCGTAACCCTTGACTTGGGGTTGTCAGCACCAGGCTCACCCAGCGAGCCAACCGGCCATCCCTATATGGGATCCGAACCCATGGCCTTGGTGTTATCAGCACCACACTCTCCCGAGTGAGCCACGGGCCGGCCCCCTTTTTGACTCTTTTTAACTCCACAAAGTGTTGTAACCCTTCGGTGATCGTTGGGTGACTTTAATACCACATTCCATCCAAGGATCATATTCCACAATTTTGTCCTTTAATGTTTGTGTAATTTGAACCACTTCAGCAAATTTTGGTAATGTCCACGTTGCTGATTTTGCTTCTGTTTCCTCTTCCTCTTCTTCTGTAGACATCTCAACAAGTTCTTCCAATTCGTCCTTAATTAACATTTCTTGAGGACCTTCAACATGTTCTTCCACTTCTTCATCAAGCATGTTGGCAAATCCTTCCCCACCAACTTGTCTTCCTGTAGCCTTGATATGGATTGAATTATGTTCCCCAAGTTTTATGTATTAGAAGCTTGATCCCCCACTGTGACTGTTAAGAGGGTGGGAAATCCTATAATGCTAATTGAAAGGTGGGGCCTTGAAGAGGTGATTAGATTCTGAGGACAATGCCCTAATGAATGGGTTAATAATGGTGGTTAGGGGTGTGGTTCTGAGGGGTTTAAAACTAGAGCACATGAGAGTCTTTCTCTCTCTGCTCTGCCATTTTCTGCCATGTGAGTCCCTTGTGTTGCTGTAAAGCTACAACAAAGAAAACCCTCACCAGATGTGTTCCCTGGACTTTGGACTTCCCAGCCTCTGAAACTGTAAGCAGTAAATTTTATTTTCTTACAAATCTCCCAGTTCCAGGTATTGCGGTACAAGCAACAGAAATGGACTAGTACAGCCTCTCCAGTAATTTTTATATTTTTCAGGCCAAACCTATTCCTCAATCTGTGTGACCATTCTTGCAGTAAATAGCTTGCTGTCACTTGTTTCAGGGGATCCCTTGATGAAGTCTTCATATAGGCTCAATGCTTACTGGTGCAACACGTTGCCATCAGTAGGAACATGTTTTCTGTCCATGTCTTCCACCCACAAATGTAATGCCTTTTACATCTTCACTAAGCACTTACCTCACACTGTGGTCATAACTTTTGAAGTTTGAGGTGCAACAGCAAAACTAGCATGAATTTCTTTTTCCTTCTTCACAGTTTCACAGATAGAAGATTCATTCTTACCATACATCTTAGCAACCTAAGTACACGATTTTTTCTCTTTTCTTATTAATTTGAAAACTTTCACCTTCTTTCTTTTTTTTTTTTTTTTTGTCTTTTTTGTGACCGGTAAGGGGATCGCAACCCTTGGTGTGGTGTGTCGCCCGCACCACGCTCAGCCAGTGAGTGCACCGGCCATCCCTATATAGGATCCGAACTGGCGGCGGGAGCACCGCTGCACTCCCAGCGCCTCACTCTCCCGAGTGCGCCACGGGGCCGGCCCTTAAAGAAGCACTTTATGGCTTCTCTTTGGTGTATCCAAGTTGCCAGCATCACTCCTCTTGCACTTTGGGGCCATTATTCAGTAAAATAAGGGTTACTTGAACACAAACACTGCAATACCTGGACAGTTGATCTGATAACCAAGATGGGAGGGTAGTGTATACAGCACAGATATGCTGGACAAAGGGATGATTCACTTCCTCAGTGAGAAATTTAAAACTTATGAACTGTTTATTTCTGGAATTTTCCATTTAATATTTTCAGATTAAATTTATCCATTTAATAATATCTTGGATAAAATTTATTAGGGGTGTCAACTGCAATTAAGGCTGTAGAGGCAGAAATAGTATGAAAAGTTTACCAGGAGCTAAATGTGAGGATCGATCTGGGAAACACTATCCATCAAAGTCAGAGAAGTGCTCCAAAACCTATTACAAATAACAAAGCCTTTATAGACAAAAGGCTGAAGAAAGCAGAAACAAAGAACAAAAAGCAGATTGGTCATTTCAGAGTTACTTTCCTTGTAAGGTGGGGATAGGGAGATAGAACAATAAAAAATGACTGATTAGTTAACATCAAGCTACTTCAGGCTATCTCCTGTGTAAAGATTAAAGCAGAGGGAGCAGGGCAGTTTGCTCAGTTGGTTAGAGCATGGTGTTGGTAACACCAATGTGAAGGTTTCAGATCCCCTCACCAGCCAGCTTCCAAAAAATAAAAAAGGATTAAAGAAAAGCGGAGAGAACTTCATTATCATAGTATTGAAGATTTAAACTGGCATATTTGGGGAACTGGCTGTTATCTCTTTCTCTTGACTTGGAAGGTCAGACCACAACCTAAGTGACATGGAATTTAGCAGGAGGGACTTCGTTTTGGTTTTTAGTCTGGTTTGTTGCGGCCTAGAGCAGGAACTTAGTCCAAAAAATGGCCTCCTATGATTTTTATTTAACAGGGGTAACTGAAACCACAGAAACTGCTGTACCTACTGAAGTAGATACTTCTTTGCTTCCATGACCATTGAACTGGAAATATCTGTTGCCTTCAAGCTTTTAAGACAATTTCACATGAATATACAGTTCAGCCATAGCTGTTTCCCACACTTACACATTTTTAAGCAGTGTTATGAACCTAGCACTTAAGTTATTTCTCTTCCTGTTCTTTCACATCTATGGAGCACGTTCCAAGGACACTACATTTCCCAGCAGGCCACGTCACCCTTTGACCCTTGCTGGACTAAAAAGACGCGCCGGGAGTTCCTCAAGCTGGAAGACTACAGCCTCCCGGCATGCAGCGCGTATCCTTCCATTAGATTTGAGGTGCGGCCGGCGCGTTGCTCATCGGGAATTGTAGTCAGCGGCGCGTTGCCCAGACGCCTGCCGGGCCGGGCGTGGGGACCTGTGGGAGGTGGCGCGGCCGGGCCCAGCTTCAGGGCGGAGGCGGAGGCGGAGGCGAGGCCTGCGGCTGCAGGGAGCGGCGGGGCCGGGAGCGGGGAGGTGTGGGAGGTGGCGCGGCCGGGCCCAGCTTCAGGGCGGAGGCGGAGGCGGAGGCGAGGCCTGCGGCTG